AAAAAAAAAAAAACTAAATTCACTCTGTGCAGACCTAAAATAAATATATAAAAGATGACTCCTCTGTACCAAGTTAAAGCTCTCACATGAGTTTAGTTTCATAGCCACATATTATCTACCGAGTTTCGAACCGTGTGGCATTGGCCGTCGGATATTTGCAGTTTATAAAAGAAAATAGTGCATGGTTATATTCCATTAATGAAAAAAGTGACACATGAATCCTCTAATAGCTACTACCATTTTAGTACTGATGGTGGAAAAGGACAGGTGTAATATGGTTGAAACTTACTTGAAGAAAGGCCAAAAGTAGAACTTTGACACTTCGTTAGTGTGTAGAATTAGTTGATCATTTAGACAGAAATTGACAATGGAGTAAGCAGCAATCAAACTTTTGATAACCGAAGTATTTTCTCAAATAAGTGCAATAATAGTGGAGATAAGTGCTGTCACAGTTCAAATTAAAGCAGAAAAAACCAACTGAAACCTGATTTATAAAGCTATATAAAGTTAGTAACCAAACATAGATGGGTCCATTCATGGCCTAATGTTTTCCCAACTTTGGTAGAACCCCAGTACCGAAAGGGTTTTAGATTCACTATAGTCTATTCTATAACGTAAATAATATCTTGATCACAATATTATCGATCCAATTTACGTGCACCTCGACTATTTCATCGTGTACATTCATGTAACTCTTCCTATCAAGATTTAGGCAAATGGAAAGAACTCACCGAATATTTTATTTTTTTTCTATTGAGATTTGGACCCTGATCTCTCATGGTTTTAATGATCATTTCGTTGATGGATAGGCCACACCGTTAGATGCTATAATGTAAATAAATCCTCTATTCCTCTCAATTTGGGGAAAAACGAATTAATTAAAAATCCCAAGCTCAAATCATAATATACCACCATAAAACATTAAAACTAAGATAGCAGAAAAAGACTATAAACAAACTTAAAAAGCATAGTTTTAAGTGACTTTGCTAGATAAGCTAATCGTCAGAAACTGATAGCTAGAGGATTCTGATGAAAGAAGCACTAATCTGAAAGGATTACTATAACTGGAAAGCTAATATAAACAACAAGATGACCTAAACCATACTTTAAAGTAAGGATTAGTTAGTGACCACCAGCTGTTTAAGCCAAACTGTGATGGAATTTTGGTTATCTTTAGACCTACTATCTTGAGAGAATTTTATTATTTATAAACTCACTGCTTTATAAAATGAACGGATATTTGATACTTAGCTTATTCATGTACAAGAAATAAGAGGGAAATAGAGAAATGCAACGACTGAGTCATGACCTACTCAAATAGTATTTGAAAATCTTGAAAAGAAAATGGATTTCTTAAAAAATTAATTATCTGACCAAAGTTTTACATCAGCATCATCTTTATATACATGCATTAATATATAGCTAAGGTCAATTCTTAGTAGTGCATGGCATTAAGCTCCTAAAGAAGTACTAACATTCACAATATTCTGTAGCTGTGTAAACTTGTTATTTTTGTTCATCTACTTCATTTTCTCTGCTATATTACATTAACATGAATGCCATTAATGCTGCTGCTGTGGCAGCAGAGTGGAGTATTAGGATGGCTGATGGCTCGTTCGCGATTTTGGCACCAGAATCAAGCCTTGTCACAAGAATAAGTCTTTCGATTAAAAGCTTCTTTAAAAATTTAATCTTGGTATTCTGTAGATTCTTGGAAAAATCATGGAACATAGGAATGAATGAGCCTAGAAAAGTGATTCACTGTATCAAAGTTGGAATAGCTCTAAGCGTTGTATCGTTGTTTTATTATATGAAACCTTTGTATGAAGGTGTTGGAGGAACTGCAATGTGGGCAGTTCTGACTGTTGTGGTGGTTTTTGAGTACACTGTAGGTAGGTATTCATCAATTCTAAACATATTTTACTAGCTTCATTTTACTCTTTTGTGTACAGTGAAAATGAAAAGGCTAAATGTTTCAAGAAAATTGCAGGTGCAACGCTTTACAAATGCTTAAACAGAGCTACTGGAACTTTTCTTGCTGGATTTCTTGCAATAGGAATCCACTGGATTGCCAATCAATCAGGCAAAAGATTTGAGCCTATAATTATGGGAACTTCCATTTTCATATTAGGTGAGTGATCTTTGTAAATAAACATTACTTTTTGCATATGTGATATGGATTATCTGTTCTCATTTTTTTTTTCCTTCACTCAATTAGGCTCAGCAGCAACCTTCTCAAGATTCATTCCTGCAGTGAAAGCGCGATTTGATTATGGCGCTATGATATTCATCTTGACTTTCACTTTGGTTTCAATATCTGGATATCGAGTTAAGAACTTATTGACCATGGCTCACGAGAGAGTATCAACGATCATAATCGGAGCTTCTTTGTGTGTTATTACAAGCATTCTCATATATCCAATTTGGGCTGGTGAAGAGCTCCATAAACTTGTCATTAGTAATTTGGAAAAGCAAGCAGATTCCTTAGAATGTATGTGTTTTGCCTAAACTTTTGATATAGTTTCTGAAATTTCATTATATATATTGTCTTAAATTTGGTCCTCAAATGTCATTTTAGGTTGTGTAGCTGAGTATTTTAGTGACAGTGAAGACACAACAACAAATACTAAGAAAATGCTAGCTTTCAAGTGTGTGCTGAATGCTAAGGCATCAGAAGAAACAATGGTAAGTTTCTGTCAACATCAACATAAAAAACCTTGACAACTTTCAGGGATTAAACCAAACTTAGTACTACTAGTACTATATATATATATCTTTTACTGATAAAAGGGAACCCCGGTGCGCTAAGCTCTCGTTATGCATGGAGTCCGAGGAAGGGCCGGACCACAAGGGTCTATTATACGCAGACTTACCTTGCATTTCTGCAGAGGCTGTTTCTACGGCTCGAACCCGGAACCTCCTGATCCCATGACAGCAACTTTACCAGTTATGCTAAGGCTCCCCTTCACATCTTTTACTGCTATAACATGGAATTATTTTCTAGGCCAACTTTGCTAGATGGGAACCAGCTCATGGCAATTTTAACTTTCAACATCCATGGAAATATTATATTAAGATCAGTGCATCGATGCGAAGTTGTGCCTGTTGCATTGAGGCACTAACTAGCTGCGTCAATCAAAAAAATCAGGTTCATAATCTGAATTCTTAAATCCATTAGTCATGTAATCCCTTTTTTCTAAAATTTTCTAAAAGGCGAAAATCTTTATTGTGTTATAGGCATCTGAGTTCCTGAGGAAGCAGCTTACTAATACTTGCCAACGAGTAAGTTCAAGTACAGCTGAGATATTGAGAGAGTTAGCAATGAACATGAAAACTATGAGAAAATCCTCCAGAATTGATATTTTAGTACAAGAAAAGAATAGCACGATTCAAGAGTTGGAAACTCAGCTGAAACAAGCTTCAGGTTTACTCATTGTGCCAAAGGGGGCTAAGAATGAGAAGGATGAAGAAAAACCAGTTGTGAGAACTAGTAATGTTATACCAATGGTGGAAATTATACCAGCTGCAACATTTGCTTCTTTAGTTATTGAAATCGCTACGAGGATTGAAGGAGTTGTTGATGCAGTTGAAGAATTATCCAAAATGGCCAAATTCAAAATTGAAGATGCTGAGAAGATGAAACAAAGCAAATCAGTCATCAAAATCATAAACTAGTAGTCCTAATAGATAAACTTTACTCACAATTTCATGTGTCTGAGTATTTTCAGGTGACCAAATGCTCATGTTGTACTACCCATCCCACTCTTAACATTTCACTGTGCATGAAACAATACGCGGCTAGTACGAAATGTTTATTTGATGCATTGTATATTAATACCATTCTCGGTTTGGAGTTTAAAACCTTATAAGCTTCCACTATTCTTTAAATAACAACAACAACACCAGTTTAATCCCATAAATGGGGTATGGGGAGGGTAGTGTGTACGCAGACCTTACCCCTACCTTATAAAGATAGAGAGGTTATTTCCGATAGACTCTCGGCTCAAGAAACAGTATAGATAAGATAAAGCAGTCAAGTAGTAAACAAAGGTGACAACATGAATACATTATCGTGACAGGCGTGAATGACACAACAACAACATACACAACATGTAATAATAAAGCACCAAGACTAAGATAATACAAAATTAATCTTAGTATTACTGGTAGGCCTAGGAGGAACACACTACTAACTATCAACCTACAACCCTAATCCTCGACTTTCACACCTTTCAATCATGAGTCATATCATCGGTAAGCTGAAGCAATGACATGTTCTGCCTAATAACCTCTCCCCAATACTTCTTAGACCTTCCCCGTCCCCTCCGCAGACCCGCCATGGACAACCCCTCACACTTCCTGAGCAGTGCATCTATGTCTCTCCTCTTCACATGCCCGAACCATTTCAACCTAGATTCCCGCAACTTGTCATCCATAGATGTCACTCCTACCTCGCCCCTAATAACTTCATTCCTAATCTTGTCCTTCGTGGTATGCCCACACATCCATCTCAACATCTTTATTTCAGCTACTTTCATCTTCTAGACATGAGACTTCTTGATATGCCACCACTCAGCCTCATACAACATAACTGGTCTAACCACCACCCGGGTTGTACATTCTTATCACACAAAACCCCTGAGGCGAGCCTCCATCTCATCTACCCTGCTCCAATACGATGAGTAACATCCTCGTCAATCTCCCAATTACCTTGAATAATGGCCCCAAGATAATTGAAACTATCTCTTTTGGGGATGACTTGAGTACTAATCTTCACTTCCACTCCTTCTTCATACAACTCATCACTAAACTTGCACTCCAAGTACTTAGTTTTTGACATACTCAACTTGAAACCTTTAGACTCTAGCATCTATTTCCAAACTTTCAACCTAGCGTTAACTCCGCCTCGCGTCTCGTCAATCAATACTATGTAATCAACGAATAGCATACACCATGCCCCCCATGTATGTGTCGGGTAAGCACATTTAACGTTAAGGTAAACAAAAATGGGCTAAGAGCTGATCCCAAGTGCAGCCCTATCTCCACTGGAAAATGATCAGAATCTCCTCTCCCAGTCCTCACCCGAGTCTTTGCTCCCTCGTACATGTCCTTAATCACTCTAATATACGCCACCCGATCGCTAGCCTCCATAAATCTCCATAGGATCTCTCTCGGGACTTTAGCGTAGACCTTCTCTAGGTCAATGAATATCATATGCAAGTACTTCTTCCTCTCCCTATACTGCTCCACCAATCTCCTCACAAGGTGAATGACTTCTGTAGTAGACTGTCCCTGATATAAATTCGAACTGGTTCTCGAAAATAGTAACACTACGTCGCATCCTACTCTCCACCACCCTCTCCCAAACTTTCATGGTATGACTCAGCAGCTTGATACCTCTATAGTTATTACAGTCCTGTATATCACCTTTGTTTTTATACAATGAGATCATCAAACTCCACCGCCAATCTTCAGGCATCTTCTTCGTCCTAAAAATGACATTAAACAAACCAGTAAGCCATTCCAAGCTAGCCCGACCCACTTCCTTCTAAAATTCCACTGGGATCTCGTCAGGCCCAATTGCCTTACCCCTGCTCATCTTCTGCATTGCCCGCCCTTTCAACCTCCTTGTTCCTAATACGCCTACAATATCCAAAATCCCTCGAACTCCCTGAGTTCTCTAGCTCACCTAGCACGATATTTGTGTCCTCTCCCTCGTTCAAGAGTCTATAGAAATACTCCTGCCATCTACTCCTGATACACGCCTCTTCCACCAGAACCTTACCATCTCCGTCAGAGGAGGATTAAACCTAAATAGTCGCCCACCTAATCTCTTAAACTAAAAATAGCCGATGATATATATNATATGGATTCTGATAGGCTATTTGTGTAACAATCCTAAAAACGGCTGTTCGTGCACTTCGCCCAACTATTTCCTGGCCCAATAACTTTGAGCCCGTTTGTGTACCTGCTATGGCCCAGTCCGGAACCCCACTGGAGTTCAGAAGTAAAAAGCCCGTCATCTTCTTCCTTACAAAATAAACCTTCGCGGGGTTTCCAGAAAAGTGCTGGAATTGTTTTTTGCTCCCATGTAAAAATTTTCCTGTCAGCTACTGCTTCAAAGTTTTGATCTTTCTCTTGAATTAAATTATTGCTTTTATTGTTTGCTATGGGTGAGACAATTTTAACATCGGAGGCAGCTTCAAGTTCGTCCCAGTTGAACTCCTCATCCCGTATAATTTGTCGGGTGTAAGTATGACTTATTTTTTTCTTTGATTTCAATATCTGTTTCTTTATCTTGCTTAATTTGATTCAATTTTTCAGTTTTAGCTAGTTGTGAGTTTTCTGCTCAACCCGTATGATATGTCGGGTATTATTGATTTGGTTCTTGACTCGTTGTTGTGCTCAAACTATGCCCTTTTTGATTGCCTTTTCTTTTCCTGTGGATTTTTTAGTTTTTTTTTTAATTAGCAACAATTTTGTCACAAATTTCTAACTTTGCCAGCAATTGGGCTGATTGTATACATTAGTACTATTATGCTTTGATTAAGGAAAAAAGAAAACAAAATGAAATCATACATTGGTAATGTATCCTAGGACCAAAGCTACTGGCTTAAAACTTCAATTTCAAATTGGGATTTTTACATTGTACCACCAGAATGCAAGCTGCTCAATTATGGATAATTAATAGGTACAAAGTTGCATTTTCTTCTCGGTAACTGCTTGACCTTTCACCAAGGGGAACTTATGTGGATGTATCTTGGATGAACTTTTCGTCGTAGTATATCTTGGATGAACTTACGTGACTTAACAGCATATTTGACTAGTTCTCCGTTCGGGGATATTAGAGCGCCTATAAGATCCGTATCTTAAATATGCATTTTGCTTGCACAATTATGGGCGGATGCAGATTTTGTTGGGATCGAAGTGACAATCAGACATGTTACTGAACCATCTGAAAATTTGATAAGGTAGTAGACGGTTTCAAGTGGAAATCCTCGTTGTGGGGTTATTCAAGTCTCGGTAGAAATTTTTTAACAAAATCTGATACTTTCCTCTGATTGTATTGACGATGAATATGTCTTTTCCCTTCAGGTTGAAAAGATAATTTCAGGTGAAAGGGCCATCATTTTATGATTGAGAATCAATTCCTAGAATTGAACTCACTTAACAAGGAAGTTTTACCTACATATTTCTTCTATTATGCAATTCCTGCTTATTCTACGTTCCACCAATGCTAGGCATACAAGCAGTGTTTCACTAAGCCCAATATGTTGACTTCATCATCATCTACGTTTTGAACCTGCCTATTTGACAATCTACTATTCTAGGCACATGAGAAGTATTGGTTTCTGAGGTAATCTTGGTAAGACCAAAAGAAAAGTTGTAGTTAAGATGGTTGAAACTTGTAGTGTTATGTGTATGCATGTGGTTGCATTGATTCGTATTCTATCTTTCCTGTCACCTATTCATTATAATAGGGAAATTGAAAATCCGATAGTTTCATGGTTAGCAAGTTACGTGCCTATCAAAATTGTGAGTGGACTTTGGCTAAACTAATAGCAACGTCTACTTTTTTGTGCAGTTGTCAAAAGCAATTTTCGCAGTATACCTGCCCTCGATGTAATACCCGTTATTGTTCTCTTCCTTGTTACAAGGTGAGTGAGAGAAATTCATTCCTTGTAGTGAAGAAGCTTGAAAAAAAGAAGATGATATTCTGCAGTTGCTATTTTTTTTGTAGTCTGCCTATGCTGAGAGTTGTTATTATTAGCCTGTGATGGCTATAAGTCCAATATATTGTGGAGACCCTTTTGATTCATCATTCCTGATTTTTCTTAATGGTATTTTTGGCAGTCTCATAGTCTTCGTTGCACTGAATCCTTCATGAGAGAGAATGTCATGGGGGAACTACAACAATTACAATCAGATGAGGGGAGTAAGCAAAAAATGCTGGACATACTAAAACGATTCCACTCAGAAGATGAAGCAGACACCATGGATGAAGATGGTAAGCATTCTTATATGGAATAATGAATTTATTCCTGCTTGATGCGTTTCCCCAGAATGACATTTCATTAATTATTAGGCATTTGTATTGCTAACTTATTTAAGAGAGGAGTAATATGGAATATTGTTTTTGTTTCTTACAATCTAAAAAAAGGGCAGCCCTGTGCACTAAACCCCGCTTATTTACAGTAGAAGAACAAATTATATTGATATAACTTTTGTTGTATTTTACAACAAGGGGGAAAGTTTGATTTGCTCAAGAAGTTTTGTTTTGCGGGATTCTTTTTTTGTATTATTATTATTCATTTTCTTGATAAGGATACTCAGTCCAGGTTATCATACTTTCAACAAAGTTGGTGAAATTGATGAACTGACATAACATGCTACTATTGAAGACAAAATGAGTTAACATTTCTTATTGCTATGCAATTCTTAACTTTAACTTTTCGCTTATTGGTTTTGTTGCATCAGTTTCCCCGTTGTCTGAGGAGACTATTCAAAAAGTTCTATCTGGTATGTTCCTGAAATATCATATTCTGATGCTGTTTCTTTTTCTCTTTTACATTTGGGCTCCGGGGGAGGGGTGCAGCTGGATTATTTATCCTTACAGCTAATATTTTTCTCTGATCGGGGATGGAATGGTGGCTGCTTCCTTTTATTTGCAGGAGAGGAGATAAATTTTGATGATTTATCTGTTGAAGAAAGGAAACATTTTCAAAGAGCCGTGGCCTCAGGAGAGTTGAGCAAATTGATTAAACCCTGGGAGCCTTGGTGGTTGAAGCCTTCTGCCAAGAATATATCTCTTGGTCAGGACGGAACTCAACTTGTCCAACCACTTGTGAGGGAGGATACAGCTGTGTCTTCAGAAAATGACATAGAAGGTGGTCCGTTACACGACATTCCACTTGGCCCCAACTCTCCATTACCCTCAGTTAGTAAGCTCAGTGCAGCTGAGCCTTCCCCTTTGTTGGCTGTTCACCTGGTTGACATCATGTACAGTTATTGCTTTACTCTTCGTCTCTACAATGGTGATTGGCAATCAGATCCCATAGGATCAGTCACGGTCTTGTTGAACGTCTCGTCTGTTCTTGGTCAAGGGGGGCAACCGGAGACACTGCTGGAAGCTCTATCGCATTGCCTGGAGCAAACGCGTTCACCGGCTTTTAGACACATGGGTGGCCTACAATTTGTGTTGGGGCTACTCAATGATACAATAGCCCTTCTTCATCTCGAGGGTCCAGCCTTAGTTTGCTTACTTTGCGATCTAAGGAGGCTAATTCAACATGCAGAGAAGGATTTGAAGTCAGAGAAGCCGCGCAAGTCCAGAAGTTCTGAAATCAGAACGAAGCTCAAGTCTGCTGAAAGGAAGGTTTATTTTATAATGTGCTGGGCTCACGAGCAGCCACGAGAAGCATGGTCTTCCTTAGCAGCCATTGTCGAGGCAGAGAAGAGCCGATTAATGGATGTCATAGGGAGTAAGACAAGTCTTCCAAAAATGGAGAAAGTACAAAATGAGGGCAAGCCTCTGATTAAGGAAATTGAATAACTGACTATTCTTTCATGTATTCCAGAGTTCCTGTTGCCTGGATTTTTATGTCCTACTATTTTCTCTTTGGAATTTTATGCAAGTTTCTGAAACAAATTCTTTTTTAACAATGAAAGAAAAAAAAAGGTTGTATGGAAAATGCAAAAATCTCTATTACTTGTGTTATATATATATATA